GGGAAAGAGCAAAGCTTCCGAGAGCGGAGGAGCCTGGGGACCATGTCCTTGGATGGGGAAACCGAGGCAGAGGGCAAGAAGCTCCTCCAGGGGTACCCGGAGGCCCGGCCAGCACCCTACCCGTGGCACAGAGAGCGACGAAGGTCTGCGCGTGCTTGCGGATGAGCTGCTTGCTCTCCTCGGCCACCGGTGTTTTGGACAGAAAGTGTTCAATGAAGTCGTGCGCGGTCGTGGCAGCCAGGTTCCACTTGAGTTTGTTCACCAAGACCAGCTCCATTTGCTGCGGAAATGGAGGGACACGTGCGTAAAGAGGGACGTAGGCGCGGACCCCAACGCAACAGGGGACGAGGAGAAGGAATGGGGCGTGTTGGAGGGTCCGGGAAGTTGGGGGAGGCCAACGCGCAACCCCACATCCAAACAGAGAAGGTGCCGCTCGCAAAGGCTCCCGTTCTTGATTAAGCCCAGTCTCCGCGGGTGGAGACCAGAAGCCCGCGACACCTGGAACGCGAGGTCTGGTCGTTCGCGCGGGCCCCTCGCCGCCGCGGCCGCTAGAGGGCGCACGCCGCCCACTTTTCGCGGCGCTAGGGGCGCCGAGGCGGTGGGAGTCGGAGGGAGGGAAAGCGTGAGGTGGGGCGGCGGGGGACCCGTCCGCTCCTCGAGAGGGGCCCCACCGGTGTGGCCGCCCTCCCTGGGGGCAGAGGGTCTCTCAGCGGCCCGCAGGGGCCCCTGGCTCTCCGCACCTCCCCCACCCCCGGGGTCCCACGGCTAACGGGGCATCCGGGGGCGGTGGGGGTCCCAGGGTTACCAGCAGCTCGTCGGGCCGGATGGAGTTGTCAGTGTAGATGCACAGCTTCTCGGCCGTCAGGGGGATGGTCTCCTTCATCTTCGAGGCGACGAACATGCAGGTGGCCCCCAGCAGCTGCAGGCGGCTCTTTTTCACGGGCTCCAGCGACAGGAAGCGGTCCAGGTAGTTCATGGCCAGCGGGAAGACCTCCTCCTCGCACTTCTGCTCCTCGCAGACCTGCCGGGGCACCGGGGGCCGTGACCGCCGCCACCGGGAGCGCCCGGCCCCCTCTGCGGAGACCTCGCGCCCCCCACCCGGCTCGCGCCAGGGCTGCGGGGCCCCGAGCGCGAGGAGGGTCAGGGCAGGGGGCGGCAGGAGCTGCCGCCGCCGCGCCCCCTTCCCCGAGAGTCCCTCAAACCCACCCACCCGAAACTGAAAGGGAAAGTCCCGGCAAGGCTGGCACGGTGGGGGCGGGAGCTGGCACGGCTGGCCGGCGTGTGCCGCGCGCGGGCGGCGGACCCCGGCCCGCGTGGGTGCTTCGGGACCCTCCAGGCCTGGGGTCGGCACCAAATGGGGTGCAGGGCCGTGGGGCGGGCCGCGGGGATGGGCGCCGCGCTCGCAGCGCCTGCGAGACACAAAGGTGGCGTCCCAGGCCGCCGCGCCGCATTTCCCCAGACGTCATCTTTTCAAAAAATATTTAAAAATATTAAAAAATTAACTGGGTACATAAGAACCCCCTGAAAATGACCCTCAGGCGGTCCTTTACCCAGGCCGGGGGTCGGGAGCTCGTTGCAGGCTCAAGGGAGAGCCCCAGGAATTCAAACTCGGGGGCCCCCCTTCCCCCTAGGCGCGGGCGCTGTTTCCCTCTCGCAAGGGCACCACGCCGCACTTAAAAAAATTATTTTAAAATACTTGCGGTGCACTCAGGAGCCCACTGAAGGCCTGAAAATGTGCCCCTGGACCCCGGCTCGCTCCGGACAGGTCCCCCAAGCTGAGACCCCTGCAGATAAGGGTCAATCCCCAGCGTCTCAGGGGCCACGCGACCTTGCAGCCCGGCGTGCTCTCCGGCCCAAGCTGGCCGTGCGGGGCGCCCCGGGACTCACTGCTTGAACAAAGGGGCCCCCTCTCCCGAACGGGGTCCCCTCACAGCTGCCCGAGCTCTGGCCCCTCGCCCCTCCCGCTGGCTCCCGGTGGCCGCACGGCCCCTCGCGGCGGCCCCAAGCGCCTCGCCGGCCGCTCCCCACCCCCACCCTGCCCCCAATTATTAATAAACACTTTTGCTTTGCAATAAAAGAACAAAGATGGCGCATAATACTGGCACGAGCGTCCCTTGCATACGTGTCCATGGATATTAATTTAAAAATCAAATCTATGCCCCCTCCCCCTGGAGCTGGCGGCTCAGCGGCCGCGCGGCCGGGTGAAGAGGCGCAGCGGGGCTCTGGCGCAGGCGGGGACTGAGCAGTGGCGGTCCAGGCGGGGGCCCGCAAAGGGCGCCCAGCCTGCGGGCCCCAACCCTGAAGCCAACTGGGGTGCCCCAGTCGTGGCTTTCCCCCAAGGTACCCCTCCTCGACCGCTGCCCCCCAAGGGAATATCCAGTGACCCCACCCCCACCCCCTCCTTGTTCAAAAAATACCCAGAATATCTATATATTTCGGAACTACGATTCCTAGCAACACTCTGGCAAACTTCAAAAGTTGGGGTGGGAGGGAAGGGAGGGCGATGAGTGGCAGAGAAAAGTGGGTTTGCGCAACAAGTCGCAGGAAAGTGCTAAGAGAGCCGCCCGGAGCCCCGCACCTCCAGCATCCAGGTGGCTACGATCTTCCGCATGGACGGCAGGATCTCCTTCTGCACACACTTGAAGTAGGACACCGAGGGCGCGCAGGTCTCCTCCGCCTTGAGCATGGCCCGCAGCACCCGGTCGTTGAGGAGGTTGGCATCGGGGTACGCCCGGCGGATGGTCTCCATCTCGCAGCACAGGAGCTGGTGTGCCATGGCAGGGGCTCTGCTAGGCGGCCTGCGGCGGCGGTGGATCCGGGGCTGGGTCCGCGCTCGGCTCTAGCTCCTGCTGCCCCTCGCCGGAGCGCGCGGACGCTGCTGCTAGCTGCTACTGCGCCGACAGCCCTCTGGAGGCTCTAGGACTTTGCAACTTCCAACAAAACTCCCCTGTAGTCCGTGTGACGTTACTGTTGTTAAGCAGAGATCAAAGCCGGGCAGAGAATGGGAGCGGGAAGGGGGGGGAGGCGGGCGCAGGGGGAGGGGGCGCGGGCGCCGAGCGCCGGGGAGCGGCGAGGGGCAGAGCCCAAAAGCCATCCCGGAGGCGCCGCGCCGGCACCGCGCGGAGTTGCCCCCGAAGCCCGGTTTTCATAGAAATGCAAATCGTCCAGAGGCTGCCTTTCTCCCCGCCGGGGAAGAGGGGTGCAGGGGGGTCTGTCTTCCCCGAGTGGGTCCCTCAGGATTTGGGGGGTTGGGTGAAGGTGGCTCTGCAGAGGGGGACAGCCAGGAGGGCGGGCAGGCCACACGCAGCCTGGGGAGACCGCATGGAGGGGGGACTCTGGAGTTCGGTGACACCCTATATCTGAGCCGGGAGAATGGGCGCGTTTCCGAGAACGCCACGAGGGCACCCACGGGCGGAGAGGCAGCCTAGGAATCTTAGCGTCTACATTTTCTTTCATTTTCATTAACACGTGTAAATTTCAGGAACCATTTAACATTCAGGGACTCAGGGCAGAGCCGGCAACACTGGTGGAGGCTTCATTCCCGCACACTGGGTGGGGGGGGGGCTCATTGCAAATGCCCGAGGGGGCAACCCTAAATGTTAAAGGGCTTTCAGCCTAGCATGCGCTCGCTCAAAAAATAAAATAAAATAAAATAAATGCCCGAAAATTCCAGCAGCAGCCCAAGATGGTGGCCAGCATTCCCTTCATCCTGTCCTCCTCGCCTGGGGGAATCTGCGGGCTGTCTTCCTACCTTAGCCAGTCCATTCTTGCGGGGGTCCCGAATCCCCCCCCACCCCAGCCCTGTCCCGGCAGCTAGAAAAACACCCTGAAAGGAAGGCTGCAAAATAGTGGTCTCTGTCCTGTCTCATTTTTTAAAATTAAAAATTAAGTTAAATCGCTGGAAATATTAGTCGCCTCTCCGCCTGGGACAAGACCACCGGAAGCTTCCTAATTGGTTTTGCTGGGGGTGTGGACGTCTCTTCACCTTTAGAACTTGCCCTGGGGCTGCATCCGTGAGCCCGAGGGGGATGGCGGGGGCTGGCAACAATCAGAGCAATTACAGGTTAAAGAAATGGGTGTATTGATCTCATGATTTTAAACAAAACCTGTATATGTTCGTGGCTATAAGAGAGTCCCCAATATTATCGCAAACTTGTACGACATATAAAAGAATATATAAAGCTTCTTTTCGAATTAAAGATTCAGTCTCTTTGGTGCTTATTTTTAAAATAAAAGGACATTTTGCTCAGTCTTAACATACTTTTTTTTACAGTTTTTACTCTACCTGCCCCAAATTAAGAAAACTGTTCATTAACTTCCCTCTGAATATAGTTTAGTGTCATCAAACCACCATATACCCTAATGTTAAAGGCTCAAAGAAAACGGATTAAAAAGCCCCCTTCCCTTCGCAAGGGCGCACGCCACAGGACAAGGACCTCCCCCCACCTCCTTTTCGGGGCTGATTCTTCCCGCGCCCCCTCCCCCGCCGAGATTTAGGGTTACTAATATTCCGGGTCCAGGAGGGTAATTACCCCCGGCTCACGCTTCGAGAGCAGAGGGTGGCCCGACCAGGGAGCACCCACCGCCGTGTCCCCCTCCCTGGGCACCCACGCTCGCGTTGGCCCCCGGCACGCCGGAGCCTCGGAGCATCAGCCCGCGCACGAGGGCAGCCGGGCTGCTTTTTCATTCATAAAATCCCGACCGGGCGGCCGCCCGGATGATTTATGGGGCTGCGTGCTACCACCGGGCTGCTTCTGTCCCGGGGGGTTAGGGGACCCGAGCCCCGCGTGCGCCCGGGCCCGGCCCGAGGCAGGTTGGCGACGGCGAGGGGCATCGGGTCATAAAGAGGATCGCCCACTCCGGCAGAACGGGTTCTGGGTCCAGGAGGGAGCTTCCCCCTAACCCGGGAGAAAGACAGAGGAAACTGGAATTAGCATGAGCCAATGGGGGCGCGGCGCTGTTACTAGGCGGACCGGGCAGATCTCTACGAGGAACTCCGTTGACTTCCCCGCTCAGGGACGGGCGCAAAAGTGCAAGCCCGGCCGGCGAGCGTGAAGAGCCGTCCAGGAACCCGCGGGGGAGGCGCTGGAATTTGGGGCCCGGCGGGGAGCACTAGCCGCCCAGCCCCCACCCCAGGGAGCCCAGATCTGCGTTCCCCGGAGACTCAGAGCGGGTCAACAGCCTCGGGGCCCTTGAGAGCGGCTGCTTCCAGGAGAGCGGGGAAAGA